CCATGGCTTGACTCAAATATTCAGACAAAAGAATTCCGGTCGGTTTTCGACACATGTACTTACGACTTGACTCAGATATTAAGGCAAGAATTATGGCCGGTTTTCGACACATGTACCCACGGCTTGACCCATATATTTGGACAAACGAATTCCGATCGGTTTTCGACACATGTACCCACGGCTTGACTCAGATATTAAGACAAAAGAATTCCAGTCGGTTTTCGACACATGTACCCACGACTTGACTTTGATATCCACACAAAAGAATTCCGGCCGGTTTTCGACACGTACCCACGACTTAACCCATATATTCAGACAAAACGAATTCCGGCCTGTTTTTGACACTTGTACCCTCGGCTTGACCCATATATATTCAGACAAACGAATTCCGGCCGGTTTCCCAAACATTTACTTACGGCTTGACTCAGATATTAAGACAAAATAATTCTGGTCGGTTTTCGACACATGTACCCACGGCTTTACCTATATATTCACTCAAACGAAATCTAGCGGGTTTTCGACACATGTACCCACGRCTTAACCCATATATTCAGACAAAACGAATTTCGGCCGGTTTAGATCATGTACTCACAGCTTGAGCCATATATTCAAACAATCGAACTCCAGCCGGTTTTCGACACATATATCCACGACTTGACCCATATATTCGGACAAACGAATTCCGGCTGGTTTTCGACATATGTACCCACGGCTTGACCCATATATTCACACAAGCGAAGTCCGGCCAGTTTTCGACACATGTATCCACGGCTTAATCCATATATTCAGACTAACGAATTCCGGCCGGTTTCGACAATGTACCCACGGCTTGAGCCATATATTCAAACAATCGAGCTCCGGCCAGTTTTCGACACATGTACCCACGATTTGACTCAGATATTAAGACAAACGAATTCCGGGTGGTTTTCGACCGGTTCCCACGACTTGACCCATATATTCAGGCAAACAAATCCCGACCWGTTTTCGACAYATGTACCCACGACTTGACCCATATATTCAGACAAACAAATTCTGGCCGGTTTTCGACACATGTACCCACGGCTTGATCCATATATTCAGACAAACGAATTCTGGCAGGTTTTCGACACATGTTCCCACGGCTTGACCCATATATTAAGACAAACGAATTCTGGTCTGTTTTCGACACATGTACCCACGGCTTGACTCAAATATTAAGACAAGTATTTCGGCCGGTTTTTGAGACATGTACCCACGGTTTGACTCAGATATTTATACAAACTAATTCCGGCTGGTTTTCGACACATGTACCCACAACTTGACCCATATATTCGAAAAAACGAATTCCGGCCGGTATTTGASATATGTACCCACGGTTCGACCCATATATTTAGACAAACGAAATTCGACCGGTTTTCGACACGTGTACCCATGGCTTGACTTAGATATTTAGATAAAAGAATTCCGGTCGGTTTTCGAGACGTACCCACGGCTTGACCCATATATTCAGACAAACGAATTCGGGCCGGTTTTAACCACATGTACCCACGGCTTGATCCATATATTTAGACAAATGAATTCTGGCCGGTTTTCGACACGTACCCACGGCTTGACCTATATATTCAGACCGTGAAGTCTTGCCGGTTTTCGACACATGTACCCACGGCTTGACCCATATATTCAAACAAATGAATTCCGGCCTGTTTTCGACCCAGGTACCCACGGTTTGACCCATATATTCCGACAAACGAATTCCGGCCG